CCTGGGAAGGAAAAGATATTCTATCATATTTTAAGTTAGCTATTAAAAAAATAGATATGTTTTTATTTAATGTTGATGTTTTCCCAAGATAAAGGAGTGACATTAATCAAAAAGAAAGCAATAAAAGACCATGTTTTTACTCAATGATTTTTTTTTAGAGAGAATCTCACAGCCGTCCATTCCTAGAGGAGTGTCTTGGTGATAGAAAAGAAAATATTGTATGTATCAGGAATTACCATTGCACCAAAAAAATCTTTGAAAATTTGAGTAACAGTAGAAGTTTGGTCATTTATTTTTATTAATAACAGACCTCTAATATGGAGTCTGAATCCTGAACAGAAGACTTCAAGATAAAATCCACAAACCAATCAAGTGGCAGAACTATATTATTTTCTCTACATATGATTAAAGTCACAACTGTGCAACAAATCTGAATATGTGGTCAAACTACAAACACACAGCAAATCTCAAAACATTAAAGTCAGTACAACAAGGCCACACAATTCTATGTCGCTTTCCAGTTCACATTTAACTTCCACAGAAACACACCTGTGAGGCAAAACAGCACTAAGCGGCCTACTTGCACACACTGATACCATTTCCTCCTACACCAGTCAGGTGGTGCAGGCCAATGTAACATGAGCCACATCTGTTTGGAAAAGAAAGGATAGCGATCACATCAGTCTCGCCGATCTGTCATCTGGTCTGGGACAGCTTGGATAGTTAAACCCTTCCTGGTTGTGCATGGGAGCCTCGCAGATTGCCAAGCACAAAGGAGGTCTTGTGAGCCGCTCATACAGTCAAAGCAGATTCCCTCCTTTAATTAGAGAAGGAAAATCTGCTGACTCATGCAAGAAACTGATGACAGATGGACAAGGATATCCTTTATGTCGCTGCTCAGAACTTTGCTGCTTTCTTGGGAAGCTTTTCAATTGAAGGAAAGAATATTTAGACAACTATAAGTGGAACCGAAAATAAAATTATGCGACAAGCTTGGTCTGGATAAATCGTAGAATCGTGCAACAGTATTAGTTCGATGTTTTGGGAGCAGGTGATGAAACTTCAGTTCCAGAGGTCAAACGTTCTTTGTGGACATGACATACAAAGACAAAGTTACTACACTTCTTGAAAACAGCAGTTACATAACATGGTTAATGATTTTCCACCAGAGGAGGTACTGCTTGCCTTATCAAATGCAGCAAAAGTTCCTGTGAGAAACTCCATTTGAAGAAGCACGACACACCAGAAGTGAAATACTGAAAACAGAAAACTTAAAACAGTAAAGTAAATCTGTTCCACAGACTTTTCAGCATATAATTAATCAAACTCCCTTTAAAGAAAGTTCATCATTGATAAAACAGATTACCTTAATTTGTTTTTATGTTTGTCCTGGTAACTTGTGAAATTCAGATATACTGAGGAGGAATGATTAAGAAACATGGGGCTGCACAAAATATCATTTCACAGCCCTGACTGCAGTATGAAGGGCCTATTATAGGTGGCTATCCTGTGTTCCAGGTGCTATACAAAAAAACTGCTGACAAAAAATATATCTGACTACCCTTTATGCCATTTATAGGGTCAGTATTAAAAATGAGTTAGTTTCCATTTAAATTTCTATTGTATTTGTCGCTGCCTTCTTAGTTCAAAAATAAAAACATTTAAAGAAAAGGATGCCAACATGTGGTTTGGTTCTTGTACGTATTTCTGACTTGATTGTTTGAAAAAACCCATTTAAAAATGTACTTTATTTTTTGCAAACACATAGACAAAACAATTTCTAAAAATCTCCTACAACTTAGTGTAAAATGGAAGTTAACTTAATTTGATGTTTCAAGTTCAAAAGGTGTTCCAAACATTTTACAAAAACCTCCTGTCATCCCACTGGACATCTGCCAAACAAAACCTCCACCACACATCTGGTGTGTACTTAACCACTTAAATTAATGGAAGGGTCTGAAAGGTTAGCAAAGTGATCTAAGCAATTAAAATATAAAAATATATTACAGATTTTGGTTCTAAATTAACTTAAATATATTTAAACTGTCCTAAGAAAAGTAAATTGATAGAACTTATGATTTACTAAAAAATGACATAAATGGCCACAACAATATTATTAAATAACCGTATTGGAATGTTATACTTTTCTCAACTTCTTCAGCCTTTCTCAGATGAGGAAGAGGTGTGTGCTGCAGCTGTGTGAGAAATAAATTGAGGAGGTGAGGGAAATTTTGCCAAACTGATGCAGAACGAAAAGAGAAAGGATGCAAGGGGGACAGAGAAAAAGAAGAGCAATATCAGTGCACAGCAAACACTAATCCACTTTGCATACAGAACTAACAAAACAACACAGGAAGTTTGACAGATCACGACATCTCCACACAGAGGAGAATCCATTTAGTTTCGAAGTTCACTCGAGTCAATTCTGGCTCAACCGCGTAACGCTGAAGCACTTGCAACTGAAAAACAACTTGAATCTTTCAGATCTCAGAAATCTCTTGCCTGCTATAATAGTGACCAACAGCAGATTATTAGCTCAATCTTTGACCCTTTTGTGATGCAACTGATCCAAATACACACACAAAAAATGTAGAAATCTTTTCCTTCAGAGTGCTTTGTAACAACTATATGCTTATAAAATCGTGCAGCGGAAACCCACACTTCCTTACCCCGCTGTGTTTTATAATCAGTGCACATTTTACAAGTGAAAAAAAGCACACATAGACCACAGGATAGTATCTTTAAGGCTGTGTTCTCCCTCTGGGCATCTAATAGACAGATGCATGTGCAGCAAGCTGGAAGCAATAGGTCAAGCTGCCTCAATACACAAGCAGGAACTGCACAATAAGAACTACCCCCAGTTAGATGTGTCTTGCTGTGATGGGCAACAGTTTACCCTCACATCATCAAAAACAAAACAAAAAGTGGAAAGTTCCAAGCAAATTCAAGCTCTGAGCAGGCCATCTACTGAAGGCAATTTCAAAACGCATGCAACATCAAAAAATAAGATTAAAGCTTTTGGTCCAAATGACACAACAGCACAAAAACACATATTCTGTAACATGCTGTCAGCCACTGGCAGAGAAATCTCCAGATACCCATGCTCTGTCGTAAATCACACATCACTACTGTGAATTGCTTCGACACAATTATTGCTTTAGTAATGAAGTAAGTGGTCTAAGCTGTAACCCTTTAAGTATGACCCACTGTGGCTTTGGCAATGTTGAACAAATGAGGACAGGATGACTGTCAGAGCAGCTTCATGTCAAAGCTTATTTCCTCCAGGCTGCCAAGGAGGGAGGAGCAGCAGTAGTAGCACTTCTCTGCTTCACTCACATCATAAACAGTTTGTAAATCATAATGCTGTGCTATTTGCAACAACGCAACCAAAAAAACATATTCCCTAAGGATTTCACAGCTACTATATGTCACTGCCTCTGGGCCAGAAAGAGCAATGAATACTTGAGATAAAATTCATTTAGATGCGATGCCACAAATTAGGATGAAGCAAGAGAATGAGGATTTACAAGTGCACTAGAATAAATAGCAACTAATATAAGATAATACAAACACATATGTATGACAATGTTGTGTCAGTAATTTCTGGAAATCTGTCATGAGATTCACAGAACAGATTGCAACAAAACTTATTTCAACAGGAATATGTCAAATGGTTGTGCTTCTTGGAAGCAGAACAGCAACTAAGTAAAAACTTCTACCTCACTCCTACCTGACACAAAAAAACATCAGTGAGCTCTATGAATGTAATCGGGAATAAGGAGGTTGACTTATCTTTCATACTTTTTCATTTGATACATTTTTGCCCCAAGTGTACTAAATAATACAGAAATATTAAGCTTAAGTGCATGCTAAGATCAGCACTTTGCATTAAGATAGCAACCTTCCTTTGTAGCCATTCCCCAGGAATGTTTTGTGACAATAAATACTTTTAGCAACTATTTTTTCCTGAGTCTGAGCCAAATAAAGATAAGTAATTGTTTTAGGTGGAATCCAAAAGTAGATTGGTATTTTCTTTCATCTTACATTTCCAATGTCTTTGGCATTAGCTTAGTGTGACTGCTGAATGAAATTAACTGTAAGCGGACTGATGAAGTTTAAGTGACAGAACAGATGATGTCTTCAGAAAATTGTTCTGTCTGTGACATTACTGTAGTCCAACTCTGACCAGTGAAACAGATTGGTTATGTGGAAAAAAGTGAGTCTTACATAGCTGCTCAATGGCTCTTAACATAAAGCAGCCTTTTCTGATTAAAGAGTTATGATTATGCATGTCTCTGCACATTCTTGTAACAATGTTCAGCTGAGATAGAGAAGTAGTTGAGTGCTGCAAAATCAAAGCGCAACAAATTAGTTTTTGTCACTGTTTTGTTACTTGCAACTTTGTAATTCACAGCAATGATTGGCTTGTCACAGAGCACTTTTAAATCCCAATTTATTAGATCTCCAATAGAATTTCTCCAGATTTTCTATAAAACCATTAAATAAATCTCTTAAATTCTTTATTAACTTAAATTTGAACTTTAGACGTTGCAATCACTCATGTCCTCCTGGCTGGACATTGTGTTATACATTTTTGCCAGACATCAGCGTTCCAGACATAACATCATCATTAATTGGGTATTTTAAGCCACATTCTGGGAAGCTTTCAGTGCTGTTTTTTTATTACCATTTCTTTATTATGGCCCTGGAAGGGAAAATTACCTACCATGAGCTATCTCCTTAAAGACATTTGAAGAAGAAGAGTTTTCAAAAGATACATAGAAACAGCTAGATTAATTCATTTATGCTTTGTTTCCATTTTGTTTCTTTGTTGTTGTTATTTTAAATAGGACCTAGATTGTAAACAATGTATGAAACATATGCTTCCTAAATTATAGGGGGCTTTTGATTTACATGTGTCACCAAAAGATTTGGTCCCCATCAAAACTTTCTGTAGGCGCCCCTGGATTCACGCCGGTGATTTTTACGTCAGGACTCACCTTGACGAACAGTTTTTAGCCTGACGGGTCCTTTGCAGCAGTTGATTACAGTGTAGATGTCATAAAGAGGTAATCCAGACACTGACAGCCCCTCAACTTCCAGGAGCAGTTCTCCCGCAGACAGTTTCCCGTCCTGATAAACCACAGCATCCTCTCTGATCTGTCCAATGTACGCAAACTCTCCGTTCTCCGCTCCACCGTGCAGCTCCACGTTCAGCTCCCCGTTCTCGTCCCGGATGACCGCGCTCTCGTTCACTTTTGTTATCCAGTGGTTCTTCTTCTGAATGACTTTTGACATGGTGGCTCGGCTCCAAAGAAAACCCGTAAATTCCGAGGAGTGGAAAGAGACTGAGTCGATTCATAGCACGGAGGACATCCCGGGCAGAAAAACTTCATGTCCTCTGAGTACAACTTCGAGCATGTTTACTCTTAAACTTGGACATGCCGCTCCTCGCTCACAAATGGACATGGACCAAAATCCAGACTTCGACAGCTGCTGTTGTTTCCGCATCTTCAGCAGCAGCACGCGGTCTTATTCCTGGTAATTGGACCTAATCCCTCCCCATAGAATTATTTCTAGATTTATCTCACAGTTCCGCCTCTTTCAACAGAATAACACAATGTTTGTTTTCCCTTTAAAACTTTCTGTTTTAGGGGTTAATGAGGAAAGAGCGTCTATCACTGTGTATGACAGCCAGCGGCGCCTTTAAGCAGGTAACGCTTCAAGTTCCCTCTGTGCGGTGGGGATGGAGATCCAGGGCGAGGTGAAGGCGCATGCGTCACGCTAAGACTCCACGAGGAAAACTCCAAGCCAACCCAAAACCTGCCGGGTCCTGAAGCTCCTCCCGCCGGCCAGCTCTCGTCTCAGGGCGGGTTACTGCGATCCGAGCGTTTAATCCTGCGGGAACTCCGGCGGGCTGTTGTCCTGACCCATCAAAACAGGGAAACGCGGACACCAAACGCCTTCCTCTGTGCGCGCGAGCTTTATGGAGGTTTACAATAAGGTGCAAACTCCAAACCCGCCCATTTAGTCCAGCACCGTCATGAAGCGAGTCATAAACAACAATTACTTTTCATCCGGGAAAGATAAGCTTCTGAGGACATCCAGGAGATCCTGTGGTGAAACTCTAAAATATGAATATTTTTAAGATAATTTATAAATTGGGTTAAAAAAAATCTGAAATCTTATTTTTGTTCAGTCATTTAGTAATTTTCACAGATTTTTGTTGTTGCTGTTAAAATTGTTGTGAAAGAGCTGATCTTTAAAAATAATTGTGCCAACTGCAATATTTTTTAATTAAAACATAGTTTAGTTTCAGATTGCTTCTCATCAGAACTCACTTAATGTGACTGACACTACTAATAATAATAATAATAATAATAGTAATGATAACACATTTTATCTGTTCATATTTTAATTAATGCAGAATAAATGTAGCAACAGGTACTATGACTGTTTCAAATTATGATTTATAAAATGCTGCTCTATTATGGCTTTCTTATCTACAGAAATAATATTCCAACATTCCCATTTTTAAATGAAAAACTGTCCTTGAGCAAGACACTTCTTCTATGCCTTACAATTATTTGTTTCTGGTTTTTGATATTTTTCTTTTGCATGTCACTAAGAGGTTCTTGAACTTACTGTCCATTTGCCTCAAACCAGCTTTTATTCAAAAAAACACATTCATCGTTGATATTCATTGATTAACATTCACTCCATTACCTCAATATAATTAATGATTACTATGATTAACTTGAGCAGAATATTTTGACTTCTGGTGGAGAAGAAATTTAAAATCCACCCAAAGCATAACTTAGTTAATGCATGCAGCTGACATATCAGAACTTCACCATGACGTTGTATCGTACATTTAATTTAAATTGAAGCAGAAAGTGCATGAAAATTACACCTTGATGACCAGTCTTGCAGCAGCAGTGTGGACAATCTGTAAGCAGGAAACTGAGTCATGGCCGAATAAGGAATAGAGTCAGATCAGTCCAGTATGATGAAATTAAAGTATAAACAGTTGGTTCTAACAGCTGATAAAATGGCATGAGTGTAATTTGCAATAATGTCTTTGAAAATAGCTGTACAGAACAAAATACTTTTCATATCTTTGTTGTTTATAATAGTAAAAAAAAGACTATTTTTCTCGCTTTACATGAATAAAAGCTTAACTTTGCAAATGTCCAAAAGATGATCAACAGAGGAGGGTCAATGCTTCTTCACGGAAACCCGTCTCCACCGTGCAACAACAGGATTAACCAAAGAGAGGAAATCATCCACAAAGAGACAGGCATAGTAAAAGCATGAATCAGTTTCCCTTTCCCAACAGGTTCGAAAAACATTCAGAGCTCTCAAGATTGTTGAACCATTACAAACAATTTTTTCCTTTGAGTTTAAAACAGCTATTTTTTTCCCCCTGAAGACACAAAGCCTTGAAGTGGAGTTCACATTTTAAAGGTCAATTAGTTTTTTTTTCTGTTTTTCTTTTTCTGACCAGTCCAATTTAATTGTGGACAAAAAGAATTCCTTGCCATTGGCAAGCAATATATGCAATTGAATTATCCAGAGCAGTGCAAATAACAAGTCTGTGTTGTTTGGACAGAGCCAGAAGGGATCAGGTGAGAAACACATGCCACTGCAAAGGAAAACAGGCTCTGTGTGTGCTTCCTGCCAGTTCAGATAAAGTACAGTAACTGGCACTCTACCACTGTGAGGGCGGTGGCCTGGATAACAGAACATAAAATGAACCTTTCCATCTCATTTCGCAGAGAACTTTTTTGTATATCTGCGCTTAGATAATTTTACACCTCCTGGGAAACTATTTCTTTGAGTTTATTTTTTATTCCTTTAAACATCAAATTTACATCAGGTTCAAGCACACCACTCTCTTATTTGCTCGCTGCTACAAAGTGGGCTTTGTTGCTTGTCATGTCACATGACATTTTTGTTGAGCAAAAGTAATGGCTGCAGGCCAGTGAACGTCACACAGATGCTGGACACTGATGTGCTCTGACTGATGAGATGCAGACTGTTTCCAAGACAGAGGCCTGTTAACAACTAAAATTTAGCATGCAAAAATTGTTTTCATCTTTCAAATTGCAATAATATATAGAGCTCCATAATTTATGTTTTAAGTTGATGTCTTTAGCAGTTAAGATGGAACAAGTTTTAAGTTATGTAAACACCAAAGAATATTAATGACAATAAAGAAAGAAAAAACATGAGAAAAAGAAAATTTCATTCAAATCAAACTCATATTTTTAAAATAATAAAATAACTTACAACATAAAAACTCTCTGCACAACCCTCACTAACTATGTTGTCTAATTAATCAGATTCTTTTTCCAAATCGACTGAAAACAGCTACTTTTTTTTTTTTAAAATAGGTCGGTGCGTTAATCCACCCTAACACTGATGGAAATAGCTATGCGAAATGTGCTTTCAAGAACCGAAATAGTAATTAAAAACTATAATTTATATTTTTTTTTTTTGTGATAATTTTAGTAGTCCCCAATTTCAAAGATTAAAACAAGAAAAATTGTAACGGGACCAATAAATAATACATCCCCCATTAAGATATACATTTTCATGTGTCCCACAATATTACATTCAAGAGAGGAATGCTGTTTCTGAGCCTCTTTGCTGCAATAAATGAGATAATAACTGCACTCATTGATACTTAAAATTCACACTGCAGAAATAATTCTCAAATCAACAAGTACAGAACATCAAGTACCGTGTGACGAGGGCTGAGTTTGTTCTCATGAGCTGGGGTTATTGAGCTGCAAGATTTCAGGAATGCCATCAGTTCACAGTTTCAACACAGCAGGTAAATATTAACCAGCAACTCAAACACTTGATTCTTATCAAGTGTGCTGCATTTCAGCTTTCAGGGTGGTGACAAACACAGCACAGTCAAAATGGTTTCACTGATTCTTATTATTCACTTTGAAACCGTGTTTTATTTAGTCATGTATGAATCTACTTCTAAATTGTAGAGGAAATGTATGTAAAATACTTATTACTATAATGTTTCATAAGTTGTGTTGCATGTCATGAATGTGCACATAATTTAGATTGCCTTTTTACAAAATCTTAAAAAAAATAAAAATAAATCAGTAAAGGTTAACCTGACTTTTAAGTTAGTTCATCATTGCTATTGTTCATATATACAACCACCTTTGTGATATCATCAGCTACTGCATAGCAGATGAGAAGAGACAATGTTTTAAAGAAATAAATGCAAAGTGCTGATCTTTTTCTAATTTTAAGAAAGTACATGAGGTATCTGCCAGCAGAGCTGTGAGTTGAGTCTTTCATAAAAAAAGCGACTTCACTGAAATTTGACCTGATCTTGTGAGGAATGTGCCTGGAAGAACTAAAAAAAAGACTGTTTTGTTGAAAACAGATACTCCCAGTAAAAAAAAAAAAGACAAATTTTGTATTCATTGGTAGATTAACAAGTTATGTTTTTCTTTTAAAATAAAACTAATATTATAACTTCTATTTGTCATAAAACATTGTGCCTGGATTATCTAGCGTTTCTTAAGCTTTTTATGTCAAAAGTGTGCTTTTCTTATTTTTCAAGAACTCTTATCGAGGAAGCATTTCCATTCTCACTGTCGATAAACTTCCACCAGTACTGAAATGCACATAGAGGAGACAGGACACAAGCAGACAAAAGACATAAGAAATAGCTAAGTGCAAATAAAAATTTGTCTATCCAAAGTAAATGTCTTTTATCCAGTGAAGTGACAAAAGGATCTTTACAGGGAACGCTCACCTATCCAGACTGATACGAAGAACCAAAAGGTTTATTTTTGTCCGTTTTGCACCACTGCACGGAAAAAAAACAGGCAAAGAGGGAGAAACAAGATGCAATATTTTTATTAAGCATGCTCAATTTTGTGAAAACGTGCAATTTCACCTTCCTGTCAGCATGACGTTCTGACAACCCTCCAAGATGTTTAGCATCTCTGTTGAATCAAGTGTGGTGAAAGTCTATTGACCTGGCCAAATATAGTCATGTGAAAAACTGTGCACACCACATTTAAGTAGTACTGCTGCCTGGGGTCAAGAAGGTCCTGGGCTCAAATCCTGAACAAGGGACTTTCTCTATGGGGTTTGCACCTTCTTTCTGTGTAGGCATGTGTTTTCTCTGGATTCTCCAGCTTCCTCCCACGGTCCAAAAACACAGTTGTTAGGTTACATAAAAACCTGTACTTTGTTGTGAGTGTGTGGATGGTTGTTTGTCCTGTTTTGCCTTACGATACTGGCTTATTCAACAGAAAACTATGAAAACACTAACCTACAGTGAACTTTTCATTTTAAGCCATATTTCTGGTAAAACTGGCAAAATTAATGTTCAGTTCATTTCAGCTCCTCTGGGAAATATTTGGGTTTTAACTCATCCCTGGGGTTTATTCTTTGTCTGCCTACCATTATGAAAGGTCAGCTGTCGGATGCCTGCTTATCCATGTGATGGAGATTATTTCAGTTCATTTGAATAACTTCAAAAAGACTTGAAGTTAATAATGAAAAAAAAAGAAATCCACAAAATTCATTGTTCCTATCTGTCCAATCAGAAATATTTAATACCAAGCAACCTCCAAAAAGGTCACATGCAATACTTTTACAAACATATTAACACAAATGTTTTTGTAATTATTTTAAGAAACTTTGAGAAAGGTGTAATGGATGCATGTACAACTGAAGAAAACCTTGATGGCTGCACGAGGTACTAAATAATACAGTTACAAACTGAACATTCATATTTTATGTGTCTCGTTATATACAGTGTTTCAATTTTCTCTCTGAACAGGTTGTATCAACTTTTTTGAGCTTTATATTGTGTTATAATGTTATCATCAGTAAATAACTGGTAAAACTGCTTGTCAGAGCTTTTCATGGAAACTACTCAGTCCAACGCTCATGAGGAAGGTTGTA